AGAATTCAATATGTAGAATTTTATATATCGCTGAATGGGCAAATGCAAAAACTCTAAGAGAACACGGTTTTTTATAGACCTGTAATGTTAAAGTTGAATTAGACTCTAATTAGTTTATGTAATAATGTAGAATGTGTCAATACCTCAGGCCGGACGAATGTTGAAAAATAGTAAGATACTGATAAAACAATAATAGTTAAAAAAAATGTGGCTTAGACATCCTAAATAAGTAGGCATAGGTAGCAAAATGCATAATAATCAGAATATTAGCCTATATCTTAATATTTTAACATGAAACGGATCGTTGGCTGCAAAATTGTGTCTTTATCTTTTTGGTTATAGTCATGTCCGTCGTCTGGATCTATAGTATTGGCAGGTGGTACTTCGACCGCGTAATCTTGGTGCCACGATTGTTTGGGTGGACTCTACTGAATGTGTTCATGCAAAGCCTAGGAGCTGGACTGCGCCGATATAGGCCCACAATTGCACGAGCTGTACTCACATGGTTCACACGACCTCTACTTCTTCTATCTGGTATACTGCTGATTACGCTAGGCGTCTACATCAATCACTATGTCTTCCACCATACCGACCGCCCGCTCATTCTCAGTCTGCTTAGTTTGATCACAGTCGGCTTCTTTGTAGGCTGGTGCGTTGGCCTAGCTGTCGGTCTTCGACAGCCCGGAGCCAAGGCGCTAGCCACCGAATTGGCGGTCTTCAATGGCCTGTTGGCCACCCCAGCTCTACGAAACGCACTGCATGCGCCTGAAGGTGACCTTGTCTCTATGGTGCCTCTCTGGGCTACCCTCTTGACTCCGATCCCTATGGTCTATCATGCTGTAGCTCGAGTTGGTCTGGAGTGGCTGCAGGCCCAGATTGATAGGCTGCGAGGACAAACAGGCGTAAAGTCAGGAGTCGACCCTACCGTGGCCCAAATAGGCATCAATGGCGAAAATGGGAATTCGCCATTCCCTTCAACCGGTCTGGCGGTGGCAGCTGCGGCAGCCATAGCGCTAGGACCGGCCGTGACAACTGAATCCGGCGACAACCATCGCCGAAAACGGCGAGACCATTCGCGTGACGAGAGGACATCTAGTCGCGAGGCAAGTCAGGCCGGTACAAGTCCTTCTGAAGGCCGTCCCAAAGAATATGACATTCACCATGAAAGCTTTCCAACAGAAATGCAGCGACAGGAAAACGAGCCGAATTCAACCAATACCACGCAATCAGCCTTAGCTAGAGGCCTGCCACCTTCAATATCCGGTCTGTTGTTGGAGGAGACATGGCAAGCTGGGGAAAAGCCAAAGTCGATGACAGAAAACCTTAATCAGACGTGTAAAAACCAAATATTAAGCCGAGA